GTACAATATCGTAATATCTCACGTAGTTATATTTTAAACTACTAAAAACGTTAAAATAACACAATTCAAAAAGGTAATCCGATCTCACCGCGAATTCGCTACAAGCAACAAAGTAAACAGCTGAACTCAGATGTTTTAATCCGGCTTCATCATTTAATTGTTTCATTTAATGTTACAGAATTTAACAGCTTGTTTAAAAAGCTTTTTAATCATGCACGACAACATTCTGGTATTTTCTTGATTTTTCTTGATAGCAAAAGAGTACAATTACGAGATATCTATTTAATAAAATGTTAAATGCACGTGCTCCTGTATTTTAATTTTTTCGGCATAGCTTTCTCTTCAAATGATTCTCCCACTGCGTGCACGGGTATATAAAACAATTTTAATTGCAAATTTCTGCTAAAAATAACTAAATAAATAGCAAATCCGTAACACTATGTTACACACAGGGAAAATGTATAAAGCCATGTTGAAAATGAAGCGAATAGTTATTTTAACATTTTTTTTTTATTTGGAATGAAGCATGATATGGTAAAATCTTAAACTAGGCAAAAGAAGGCAATCTTAAGTTAGCATAGATTTTTTAAAAAAGTCTATTGATTTCGAGGGCACTTAGACACAGGTCCCTTTCCTTCTTGAGCAAAACATTTTGCAAAGGTGAGGAATGGGTAGAAGACGGACCTATGTTCGAATGCCCTTAATAACCTTAGATTTGTTCAAACATCTATGACAAAGATTTATCTTTTTAATTTAAGCTACTTTTAAAGTGAAAATCAGAATCAAGCTAATCCATACTGAAGGAATCCAATCACCACCAAACTAAGGTTGATTTGTAACCTAATTTTAAATTTTACTTTAGTGTGTTTCTCTTCTATCTCATTTTTCGCTGTCGACCTGCATTTTCAGAAAATGTCTGAATATTTGACGGTTTGTCTCTATATGTCATTCCACACCCACTCAAAGCTGATAGAGTTTTATATTTAATATTAGAATTTAAACTGATAGAGTTTTATTCAAAATTAACGCCAGAAATGGTTGCTTGGTGAATCATCATAGCTAATTTATATCTTTTACTAATATATCATCGGATTTTTTTGTCAGTGAAATGTATGTATGTTGTTTTCCGTTTTTTAGACATTCTTGGATTGGCTGCATGATACTTGAATTTATTTGATGAGAAATAATCTTTAAAACGAGGGCTATATCATAATTATTTTCGATAGTCACTAATGCCTAGTATATTCACTTCAAAATGCATCCCATTCTATGCATTTCTGCACACAGTAATATTAAATTCTTCTTTATATCGATTATTAGGCATAACGCTTTTTTTAAATTTAATTGTTACAGAATTTAACAGCTTGTTTGATTGCAACCGATTAATATCCTAGAGAGGTACTTTGTTGTTCGTTAAATAAATTTTTGTAAAGCGTTTCGCACCCAAAACTGTGGCACATGGCACAATTTAAAAGAAAAATTACTGTTTTAATTTCATCTTGCGGATTATTTATTTATTGAATCAAATATTTGTTACTGAAATAGCAATATATATTGCAACATAAATATAATTAATTACTACTTTAATTTTTCCTCCATACAAGACACTGACAGAAATAATGAGGCCACTAAATACTGGTAGATATACACAGGGGTTAGATCTTTGCTGCTTGCATAAGGTGTTTGTTTTATTTTAAAGCTATAAGGCATTTTATCCCTCCTTCTAGTATGCCTTTGTGGTGTAACGATAGCACATTCGATGCGTATTTCAAGAGGTCCAAGTTCAAGTACCAGCGAGAGCACTGTTCATTTTTCACGTTCCCTGCTTCAAAATGACCTAATAACTCTGCAGTGGTTCCCGAACTAAAAGGTGGCTGGCAATAATTCGTCACAACCCCTATCAGGCGCTTTTAAAAGGGGATATTAGCAAACTATATATAGGTACTATCTTATATTTGCTAATACTTTTACTAGCAAATATCAGATATTTTCATCCTCCTACGAGCATCCTTCGTGGTGTAACAGTGGCACACTGTGCACGTATTCGAGAGTTCCAGGTTCGAACTCTGGCGAGGGTATTGCAAATTCTTCACATTCCAGTTTCAAAGTAAGAAAAATTATTCACACTGCTGCGTACTAGCAAATATTTAAATCACGTATGATTCAAATTTGTAGCTTTCGAAGAAACGTGCAGGCAAGTATTTGTAAAATTTAGGGATACCGACTTTAGATCTCAGTCACACCGATAATTTCTGCCACTTCCATATGCAGATGGGCTGGCACCTCCTTAATGTTGTTTGAAACAATATTTTTCTAACGAGGCTGTCTCGAGTCATTTAGGTAGTTTGGCGACATTTTGGTAAGGCGATAAAAGTTACTAACTATGACTCTAGTAGTGTACATGGATAAAGTCAAGAGTGTGCGCAATGCCATTTTTGTGCAATTCTGGATGTTTTTTTAAGTGAAAATAGGTCGACGTATACATGGATGATACCGCGTATGTGCAATTCTTAAAAACGCGGCAAGCAGTGTGCGATTCTGCACTATCTTCCAATTTCGCACCTAATCTTCGTCGCGATTAAGCGTTTTTGTTCCATAAAATTTCTAGTATAAGCGTAACTCGGCTAGCAGATTGTTGAAAAAAATTTTGAGTACAAAAAAACAAAAACATGTCTTTACTTCGTGAAAACAAAATGGCCTCCAAACAAAAACTAGCAGGTTGCTGTAGCAGGGTTTTCGCCAAAAAATCGCCAAGTTACCATAATCAAAAGATTAACCGGATGCAATTCTAGTTTTTATTAATATGTAATAATTACGTATTTTTGTTATTTTCTTTAGATGATTCGAGGGCCGCAGAAAAATAAGTCACAGGTCGCATGGTGCCTGCAATCCACGAGTTCGATGTACCTGTGGTACTGAACGTTCAACTATATCTTAGATTTTCAAAACGATGAAAATATCCACAACGATTTTTCAGAACTAAAATCTTTTCAACCTGCCTTTCCTTTATAAATTGAATTCTTTTTGTACTGAATAGTATTTGGAGGAGGATCATTCTGAAGAAAGTTTTCTATGTTCTGTCTTTTAAATCGTAGTTGTGGGGAAAAGTTCAGAAAGGACGTGCAAAGATTGTTAAATTATAAAATCCTCTGTTACATTACAAGGATTTAGAAAAGGAAATAATTTCCAATCTTTGGTTTATTTACTTTTTCTCCAGCACTCTTTTGGACAAGCAAACTTATCCACTGTCACACCCAAAATTGCAAATATTTCCTTTCAAGCTACTTCTTTCCCGGAAGCCTTGTATTTGAAACAGAAACAATTTTTCACTCTGTCAGACGGACTCAAACTGTTTATGTTATAAATTCTGTGAGTCGCCAGTGTAATGTAGTATATCATGGCTATAATGCTCTTCGATGGGGCAGTGCGAGATTTATCTGAAGTCAGAAGTAATTTAAAAGATGAAACTAATATTTCTATAATTGAATATATTGAATCTGAACATGGCAAAGAATCAACCTTATCAAATTGCACGGACAAGAGAAAAAATGAAAATATGAGGAAAACGTAAAATTAAATAAAATAAAGTAAATGCGTGTATAGGAAATATCTCTAGAAGAGGTATTTCTTATACACGGATATTTATCCCATGGTATATACAAGAATCAGACAAGTTAATCTTAAGGATACTCATCCATTCAAAAGCTCGGAGACATACATAAATAATCCTCGCTTACCTTGCTAATTATGCTTCGGAGTAACTCTTATTCTCGACATAGCAGAGCAAAATTTTGGCACTAGTAGATAAAGATTTAATGTTTAAGAAATGCATAATATTCTTTTTAATCAAAAAATGACAAATCTCCTCTCTTACAGTGTAGGGAGGAAACAAGGCTGCAATACTCTAAATGCAAATGTAACAACTAAACACAAAATGCATACATTTTTCAATCTTCTGCAACTAGTAGTTTTGAGAATTTTTATATTTTTACAACAGAAATGACTTATTTGATCCATTTCCTACTAAAATAAATGTACATATCAGCATTTGTTTCTAATGGTATTTTAATGTACTCTATATGATAACCGTATGCAGTTTTAACAAAATTTAGTATGTTTACATCCTCTTCCGTTGTGATGGTTTCGAAAATTTGAGTCAGTTAAAATAAATGAGAAAATGGATTAAGGTTTAAATTAATTTTAAAGCCATTTTGAAACAGATATTAATAGTATTTTTTTCAGACATTTACGAAAACTACAGCATTACAGAGCTCTTTGCGGACTGAAGTTCACATGACCTTTTAAGGATTAGCAATTTATAAAACTTAAGAACTGTTAGGTTTTAAATTCAAAAGATAAAAAAATACTTGACAGAACATAAGAAACAAAGAAAAAGGTAACAAAGGTGAAACATAGGAAAAAATTCATGTATACTGGCGAAACGTTGAAAATACAGTTAAAGTGCTGTAGTATACGGTTATTATTCCAGTTATTGTTCGCAGAACCTTTTGAGTGACCTTTAAATGAGTGACCTCACCTAACCTTTTAAGTGATTTCCTTTTCACCCACTTTGTCCAAGTTGATATTCATTCTTTCTATACCTTATCTAATATTGATGTATATTTTTCACTGGATGAAGACAATATGATTTAATATTATTGCTGGAAGCCGGTAAGAAAATTGCGGTGTTAAAAATAATTAAATAAATAAATAATTGGAATATTTGTATCTCTTAATTTAATGTCCTTATTTATTTTTCTTCGAATTATACTCCATGTTATGGTCTTTCAATTAACTTTCATTTCCTGGTACTTATTTACTAATTTAACAGCTAAAAGCTCGTCTACAATACGGGCGCTTGTGAATGTGAACCAGAAGAGTAGTTTAACAAATCTTATAAATTCCAACTGTTGCTTAATGCCAGGAAAGGAAGATTAACTATCTAGTATAATTAATGGCTTAGCAAAGTGACTAACGAAATGACCTTTGTCTTTTCGCAGTTCCTCCTTCGTTCATTGATTCCGAGACGAGCTCCGAGGTGCTGGCCCGTGAGGGCACTAACGTCACCTTGTCTTGCCGTGTCAGGGGACATCCGGCGCCTACTATCACGTGGAGGAGAGAGGACGGCCAGGCGTTAATGTCCAACATCTGCCAGCACACGTCAGAGAGCAGATGTCAGAATGGTAAGTCAAAGCACATAGCGTAACATTCTATGTTTAAATTCCTTATTTCAGATTCACTTTTCTGAAAGAGACTTTAAATTCCCCCTTCTTAATTTAATAACTAGGTAACTGAAATTTTAAATTAAACTTGTTACAGGTGTAAATCTATTTTTCATGTTATTGCTTTGCACAATAGTTTATAGTTACAATTAGTGACAAATTATGATATAGTTTTACCCCTTTATAAGTATATACGTATTTCCTTGGTGCTAAGACTCACATTTCTTTCTCTACATACAGTGCTAAAAGCAAGAAGAATCATAGAACGGCAGAAGTTTTCGAATTACTTATTATTCCAGAACAACGAATTTTTCCAAATTACTAATTTAGGCTATCGTTGTTAATAAATTAAAGTTGATTATTAAACTGATTTTTACTAGATGTATTTTAGAATTTTATTCCTTCCATTTTTACTTTATCAAAGTTTTTTCCCTCTGCTTGTGGTACTGAAACTAGGAAGTGTGTCTTAGAAGTAAAGAAAATAGTATTACATATATATGCATATATACGTAAGATAAAAAAAAAAATATCTAATTCAAATTTATAATTTATTTGGCAATAGTGTCCTTTAAATTTTTCTTTTAATTTGAATATTTCCTCTTTGCTGTAAAAATAAAAACTGCTTATAATAAATCGCTCCAAAATGTGTCATTTCAAAATTAATCCATGCAGATTCTTGCATAACACTCATAACACAGATGCTTACATAATACTTCAACCAATAACAGTTTCAAATTTATGAACAAAACTGTGTTATCCATAAACTATAGACAATTCTAAACTGAGTTTTCACCTTGCATCCTTTCTGTTGCTTTACTCTCCTCCAAAATGCTGCTGCTGTACTATTTTTACTGCATCGAAATTAGTTCTTATGAAGATGTAGAAAAGGCACATATTTGATCAAAATTGGGTGTAAATCGCGCCCATGGCATTGTGTAATTCAAGTTTCGAATATGATCTCTAGAATAAGAAAAATGTTAAACTGGCATGATTGCTAACGTCTTTAATGCGGCTTCTTCATGCGTCTCCATGTGAACAATTTAAAACTTATATATATAAACATTACGTATATGCTGAAAGGATTAATAAATGAAATAAGCTCAAATATATATATATATATATGAACAAATCAATGAACTAAGAGTTACAGTAAATTTGATATGAATAATGCAGAATAGAAAAATACACACATATATATGTAGGTAGGTAGGTAGGTTACGGAGGACTGAAACGCCTGATGTCTAACAGAGGTAAACAGGCATTGTTCCAAACTCTCCTCTAACTACGGCAAAAGCTTCCTGGAACCACACGAGGCTGCACCAGGAGATTATTGAGGTTGTCAAAGGGAAGTACATAGCCTTACAAGGGCATTAGTAGGATTGTATTACAGTTTGAAGAGGAAAGCTGTGGTGTTACAGATAGTGGGTAGTTAAACTAAAAATACTTGGATAATAAGACGCATTAAAAAAAAAAAAAAAAAAAACATAAAAATGCATAGGCAACAATACACAAAGCACAATGCGTAAAATGCATAAACAGAGAGCACAAAAAACAGGTACATACACATAGTCACTTAAGGCACAAAAAGATAAATGGAGTACATGAAGTCACATGAAAGCTGAAGCACAATGTTAGTGTAAGGCAGTTCTGTTGGATATAAATACAAATACATCTTGAATGATGAATGATGAGTTCATGAATACTCATGTGTGCAGAAGAAGTGTGCGGTTAGATTGCTAAGGCGTTGATTATTGTAGCATCGCTAAGAACATAGATAAAATCACTGATAAAAGGCACGAGGATGTTGTAGCACTAATTATTGGGCAGTGCCCCAGCAATGTGTGCACCGTGAGGCACACAAGCGTTCACTAACACTGCGTAAGAAGATGTTGTTCACATGCTGTTGAAGGGATTACACACGTATCATTATGGAGGCATAACACATCTCTCTAAGGAGATGCCACATATTTGCGAATTGTTAGTATTGCCACTTTAGATTGTGGGCAGGGGAGCTTAAACTCACAGTTGTGGTGAAGCCCAGATATTGTAAAATTCACTGGACTAGTCTTAGAGCTTATCGTCAGTACACCATAGCGTCATTTTAGCACGGTAGGCAAAGGTCTGTGCCCAATGCCGCGATGGTATTCATGATGATGGAGATTGAATTAACCGCTCCTTTATGCGTTATAAGGAACCGGTGATAGGCGTTCCTATTATTTGTAGGTAGCGGAAGATGGTGTGCAGCCGTCAAGGGACATTCAAATACGTAATGGTCTGGTGACCCTTCTGATCCACAGACACAGATATCTGTATTTGAGATGCCGTGGCGATTGTAATAGCTGGGAAACGGGCCGTGACCCGTGATGAAGTAGGTGAGAGGTGCTACGGCAAAGAGTCGATCGGCGGAAACTTTCGGGAGGTAGGTGAAAGTCCGTCTGCCTGTCTCGCATTCGGTCCACTCGCGTTGCCATTGGTGCATTCCTTGCTCTCGTAGGAGGCCCTTTAGATAAGAGCAGGGCGCAGGTACGGTGATGGGTTGGGCTGTCGGGTTGGAAATTGCATCTTTGGCCAACGTGTCAGCAGCCTCGTTGCCCTCATTATTCGCATGGGCTTTTAACCCAGACTAGATTGAAATGGTAATGAGGGTGTTGCATAAGGAGATGTTGGAGACTGAGTATGAGAGGTGAGACATGATGATGGTTCTCAAGTGCAAGTAAAGTTGAAAGGCTATCGGTATAGATATTTGCTCGTGGGATCTGGCAATCTATGAGATGTTGCACTGCCGCCGTAATTCCCAGTACTTCCGCCTGGAAGATGCTATTGTGAGTGCGAAGTTGTCCTTGCCAGTCGTGTACAGTTTTGCCATTCTCATAGTGCACAAAAGCACTGCCTACACCATTCTCCTGCTTTGAACCGTCTGTGTAGATCTGGTTCCCATTCCGTGGTGCGTGTGTCGAGGTGTGAGTCTGTTGCTTGTCAATTTTGATGTGGGTTCCACTTCCTCTGAGAGCTGGATGAGTATGGGTAGAAGTGGAGCATAAAATTCCATAATCAAAAATACACTTAAAATTCTAACTGTATGTTCTTTTTTTTTTTTTTTTTTTTTTTTTTTTTAATGGCGACGGTCTCTTATTTGAAAGTAAGTGGAATTAAATCCATAGCCCCGTAGTCAAGTTGTTTTTCCCGCCTTTTCTACACGTACAGTTATAGAATGTTCTGGAGATTTTTAAAGTGAACTGGGATGGCTGACGAGGCTGACGTCATTTATTGGAAGCTCCGCCTTTCCAGAGGCTATAAAAGGACTCGCAAAGGAATATCGGGGCCTTTTCTTTAATGTAACGATGCAGTAAACTCCATACAAAAAGTTATTAGTAATTATTTTTTATTTATTCCGGTAATATGATTTTTGTAACAACTATTTCTCCTGACCAATAATAAATGGTTCCTGTTTTGTAAACTTATCGTCTGATAATTTAAGCTACGACTACATCTATGATTCTTCACCAATCTATTTATTCCGGATAAAAGCTGGTACATCACATATATATATATATATGACTTGTTTTGAATCAACTATAGCTTGATGCAAATAAAGCATAGCTTAATTAAATTATAGCTTGATTAATTGATAAAAACATCAAAGGACTTAGAGGAATAAAGCTCGCGTTCTATTACTCTAAGTCCTATTGTAAGGATCTATTGTTAGGAAATATCCGACTGCGGTAAGATAGCTTCCCAGCAAAGCGTATTTATGGTTGCCATAAAATGGCAAAGAAAGGCCAGGTTAACAGATTTGGCGCAAAATCGCCCATTTGGCGACAAAATTAACCGACATGCCGTACACTGATGGAGAACCTTCTAGAATGAATTCTTAACGGTTTGAATCAGAATGTTCTCGAAGACAGTCCTGCCTGCACGCAAAGTAGCAGTGTATCCCAACAGAGTCTCTTAGTCGATCGCGAGTCTATCGAGTGTCTCGTAGTTTATCAAGTTGATCGTCAGCCTAGTGTCGAGTTAGTCGTCGACTGTAATCGTGAGTTGGTGCATTGAGAATGTGTATTGTCGAGTGTATCGTCGAATGCATTGCGAGTTGTAGCGTGGAGAGTCTCGAGGGTATTAGAAATGCCTTAGAAAGGTCTCGAGAGTCTTAAGGTATTAGGAAACATAATAACAAGTGACTTTAAAAAATAAAACAAAGTCCTCCATTTGACATGTTAGCTGAATCGATTCACATCTTTGTTGATACAGATTTTGAATTCATGACTTATCATTCCTATTAACCACGATGTATAGGGTCAAAATTTAAATTCAATATTGGTGGTAATGTGCATTATAAAGTCTGCATTCATTTTTGCTGTCAAAGTGACAACACAACATTGCAAGTTCAGATTTTGTGTGTGAATTAGAATACCTTGTAGGTGCAGATAAAAAATAAGGCTTGTCGGAAAGGCCTGCATAGTAAAAGGCCCCCTATATTAAAAATGCACCTTATAGCCAAAATTTCAAGAATGGTTCACGTCAAGTCCTAAAAGACCAGAACTTTTCCAAATCTCAATATGTTTATGTCCGAATATTACATGTGTTCTTTTCAGTTCTATATTCTGGTTGCTCAAAATATGAAAAAATATGGTAAAGGAAATTTTGTTTTAATTATAATTTCAGCAGCTGGTCTTTTACTATATTATGAAAAAATGAATTTTAATTTACGTTTTCTAATTATTTTAATTATTTTTCTTTCTGTTACGCTGTATGTGTGATCAAGAGTCACAGGTAAACAAAAGCAGACTTCGCAGCTTTATTAGCATTACTGTGAAGATCTGATAAACGTGACTATTTCTTCATCGGAATCGAGCCAAAGATGAAATTACTTGCTGCTTGTCATCCTAAATGATGAATGGCTCTATCGTACTGAAGACGAGAATATTTCGGTAAAAACAGGATTTACCTTATGTTTAAAAGTC